ATAGTAGCTCAATATTAGCGACGGGAGACAAAAATATTGTTTTCTCCTCCAGTCATCAATGCATCAGTAGCCATTACTGTGTACTGCTTATCTGAACGACTGATGAAAACACTCTACTGCGCCGTCGGGCAAAATATTATGACATCCATCGATGATTGCGAAAATGTTTTCCAAGTCTGACTTCAACCCTGGAAAAAAACAGCTTCATCTCAGAATCAGGTTAACAAGAGAGATCCGTTTACGACGATCGCGGCATCAACCAGTTCAGTCCGCGCCGTTTGGAACACGTTTCGCCAAGGACGGACGGCCCCCGCAGTGAATTTCATTTTTCTTACCGGCCTAGTAATCAGTTGCTCCCCCGTGTTCTGAAAGTGATACTCCCTGTCCAGAAAAAAAAAAAAAAAAATTCACACTGATCTTGAATCGTGGTATTCCCCACCCCTGCTAGTGAGAGGTGGCAAGCAAATTAATCAGCTTGTTGCATCATCTGGCCGACATGTAGTGAAAATAGATTCGAATAAATCAAGGCCACCTACGTGCTGCCATTGTGTCAGCCCTTTGTTCTGTCTGCTACGGTGGGTGGAAGGTGGGAGGTGGTGGCGGAGGGGTGTTTGCCGCCGCTGCTGCTTCGCTTCATTCGAATGATAATGGCACAGTAATTATTCGCTGTTGTAATGGTTCCACTTGTCTGACATAATGAGTGGTAGGACAGTGCTGCGGCACATAACAGCAAATCACTCACTTAAAACTCATTCAGTACCAGCCAATTCTAGACCGAGTCTGAAAAGACGTTTAAAAATGTCTTTGGGAGTGAATGAGTTAAAAGAATTTTAGGTTGTTTTTATTTTTTTAACATTATGCAGTTTGATAGCAAAAGTCCGCACCCCTGTATCCTGAAGTCGTGTGCGTTTTTTTTTTCTTTCAACTAGATGTTAAGTCATGAGCGTTTTCCACCGAGCGCGTGCCTACATTCGGTTGTTTCCTCGAAGCGGCGTGGGAAAGAAACGCCTTGGCGAACGTCCGTGAACCAACGCTGATAAGACACGTACTTTCCATGTAGGTTGACGCATTTCTGAGAGGGGACGCTTTCTGCGGCGATTGGGTCACATTTTCCGCGTCGTGGTTAAAAACTGTGAGGCATGAAATCAGCTCGCGACCCAAAAAATAGACGGCAAAAGTCAGCAGAAAAAAAACAACTCACTGTGGCTGAAAATACTCATAATTTTTTTTCTCACAGGTTAACATTGCGGACAAGAGGAAATCATAGTCCATTCAATCTATTCTGCATCAGTATGAAATCTGTAAAAAAAAAAAAAAGTGCAAAGTTGGAAAATGTCGCGCATTCACTCGTAATATAAAGAGAGCATTGCAGCATTTATCACTTCTTCTCTTATTTTCTCTTTTCAAATCATCCTGTGCCGAATTTCACTTCCTTTTTTTGAATACGTTGGAATCGTAGTCACCCAGTCTTTTTTTTTCTGAACGTGGGCTAAAAGGATTACCAGATTTTTCAACGTTGTTAAAGCTGTAACATTTTTTTTTTTCAAGCAATGTTATATTATTTAAAACGATCTTTATTTCGAGGAATCTTAGCATTAGAACTGACTTGTTTTGTTGAAAAACTTTTATGCGTGTGGATCACGGTCATTTTCTAAGCGTCGTATTTTTGCTCGGAACCATTCCAGAAAATGTCCTTTCACATCCTGTTTTGATTTCAATGTCATATATTACCCAGTCTTTAAATGCATCTCGTAATGAGCTCCCTGGAGAGAATGAAAGACGTGTGAGGTTCGCCAACCGTGCTCCCGTTTTGTACGCTCGGGGCGGGGAAATAAACGCCGTGTGCACATATCAAGTGCGGGGTGCGTTCCACTTGATGAGGAATGTTCCGCTCACTTCCTGGATGCCATCAGTGCGCCAGGAAATCCACACAATAGGAGTATACGACCCACTCAGCTTATTTCCTACCGCGCTCCCGCCTTCGCTCGGTTGCATTTGATGTGACGTCGGCGTACAACTCGGAGGAAACACAATCGAACTGACACAAAGGCGACCGCAGTGTTTCCTCGGCAGTGTTAGAAGGCCCGGTTGTCTTTTTGAGTGAAGCCTGGCAACAAGCAGCAGATGGAGAAGTCGACATTTTTCTCACTCAGAACGAGGACGCTGGAGCGAGGGTTGCATAATGTGGTTTTTTTTCACACTCTCCTAATCAGCCGGAATGGTGCGGAATGGCGTCCTTGGTTTTTTTTTTCTTAAGTTTGTTTTTTTTCCCTCCATTTGCTCTTCATCCCTTCCACCCATGACTAATTGTTTGCTTTTCCTCCATCACATATCGCCCTCGACTTGCTTTGTACACTCGAGCACAGAGTAGCAAGGGGGTCGACACAGGGGTGGGGAGGTGGGTAGTGGGGGCTTCAAATGTCGACCTGACATTCCCCGTCGCTGCGGTGTCTTTGTCAGGCCAACTGCATCGAGAGCCCTGACAACCGCGTGCACTCGTCGTCTAGAGCAGGGCGGTTCCTATCAGGGGCCGTTTCGCCGCTCTCAATCTCTCACCATCCAAAGCATTCGTGCGTTACAGGAAATCGAAAAAGCTCCTGACTTTTTACAGTGAGCCGTCTTTTAAAGCATTTATGAAGATGCTTTGTTGTCAAATTGATACTTGATGGTATTGTTTGGGTTGTTGAGTGTCTGTGGTCTAAATGGCCGGAGGGATAAAAGCTCGTTTTTGAACCTTTTAGTGCTGCCGTTGCGGTGGTGAATGTCCATAATGACCTGTGGTGCCTGATGCGGTTGTCCTCAGGACAGGACAGTGATGTCATGGACACGCAGACTGGAAAACTTGTCTCCTCTCCGAAGAATTTTGAGGAGTTGCCTTTGAGTACAAGGCAGAACATTGAACTGCTCAGAAGAAACTCCGGAGTACTTTGGACATGTTTAAGAAAAAAAAAAAATCTTAAGTCCAGGTTTTGCTTTTGATTGGACTCCGATTTGCAGTCCCAGCCGAAGTCTAATTGAGCTCATCTTTTTCTTGTTCAGCCTTTTTTTAGAACATATCCAAAAATAGCAGTATGAGTCATCCCCCGGCTTTTGGATCTCTGTACGAGACATGACAAACTCACGCATTCTATCTGTTTTGATGTGTCAACCTCAGTGGTCGTCTGTTTTTCAAACTCAGCGACTCGTCTGTATTTGTCCTAACAGCCTTTCTCGATGAGGTTATGGCATTGAAGGAAATCAGGAGGTTCAAGTTAAAAGGAACCTGTCAGGAGCAGGAAGTAAGCAGCGACTGATAATATTAGATGCTGGTGCTAAAATAATGGAGATGTTAATCAAAGCGATAATGAGGAGCAAGAGGCTGGACAAAATTTTTTTTTTCCGTTCATCTATTATACCCACAAAGCAGAAGCAGGTGACAGCTGCACGCCCTCATCCACCATCGAACAAGCTTTCAAAGAACATTTAGGAGGCTGCCACGTCGCTCCAAGATGTTTAACCAAAAGCTGTAAATATTTTTCCTCTGCTGACATTCACAAACTGTCCTGCTGACCGAATGCGCAAACTGAACAGGCAGCTGAACATTGAAAACCAAACTAAACAGTCCTAAATTGTCGCTATTAATATTCAGTATTTGGAGTTTTATCCTGTTCAATAAATTACAAATTTCTTTCAGTATTGTTTTAAATCATATTGTAACTTGTAGAGAGTGGATAATTTATTTATTTATTTATTTATTTTTTTTTTAAGGAACTGCCATAGTTGCATAAATTTTGGCGGTGGATATGACACGTGTCACTGTTTCATCAACAGGGAGGCCTACAAATATGATTTTGTATTTTGTTAGGTATTGTTGTAAATCAGGTGCCAGTTCTTTTACAACTTGGCTCACGTGCACCCAAAAAGGCTTCATTTCAGACCCTGTATAATAAAATCAAATGAAACTGTCTTACATAACATGATTCATAAGTAGAACTATATCATCTTTACACCGCCCTCTCTATTTTCACCGTATGGCCCACTTTGCCCATTTCTGAACTATACCGAATTTCAACAGCAGTAGACGCGCCTTCTCCGGCGAACACATAACCCCCCCTCCTTACAAATCCGTCATCAGACAGGCTAATAAAATAAAGGCATCACTCTTGTGTGTTCGCTCCGTCTCATGTACCTCGCTTCCCCCTCGGCACATCTGCTCCTTGAGTATCTCACATCTTCCCTCATATCGCAAGCCTTGTTGCCATGGAGGTCACTTGAATCTCTCCTGCAGCTCCAGTCATGACTAATACTCTCCCCTTACATAAATATCAGCCAAGGAGAGGAGAAAGAGGTGGACTCCGTTACCATTAAAAATATACAGTATATCTATATACGCACACCATAAAGTTGAATTGTTTTTTTCCCCAAATATTGAATCTGAAAACAGCACTGTACCCTCACCGGGAGGACGTGCACAACCGTTGCTTTTGAGATGTATTACAGCGATCCTGAGCTCGCTCGACTCGCGCGAGTACCTTTTGCCACCCCACTGGTGCGAAGCGGCGGGGTTCGTAATGTACGCAACGCGCCCGCCGCACCGCTCTGACCCGCTTCCTCGGTTGTGTTTATGCGGTGCAAGGGTGTTTATGGGTCAGTGGTGTAGATTGATAAGAGGTATGTAAGCAGTGCTGGTGTCAAACTGGGGGCAAATAGGTTCAAGCAGAAATCAAGATTAGACTTTGGTTAGGATTTAAGTTGACCCATTATTAGTTTTCACAAATAAATAAATAAAAATTTGATCCAATCTTTCCTCAGCCACTCAACCTTACTTCTAGAGACACTTTGATAACATCACTTTAAACCTCAGTGAATTTCTGACATAGCACTCACATAAACTCTCTTAGAATGTGACCAGAGAGGATTCACCGGAGTCGAACCTCAACGCAATATTGAATTCATCACACAACGTTTCATGTGTGTCACATTTGGCGGATTCTGATCAAGCGTGCCGGCGTCTCTTTCAGCCAGAAGAACCTGCCCTCACCACATCGACTGTGCCAAACAGGGACGCTACCTGTGCCGGCCTGGCTCCACCACCTGTGGCCCGTGCCTCTCCGTTCTGGTGGAGGATGAGATGGGTCGCTGCGTGATCAAAAAGAGATATCGTCACCACGGTATGAAGACACGAATCTCGCCCCACGTAGATTTGGTGATTCCCTTCTGAGCACAGTCGGGCTGAAACGATTCATTGGCTAACAAAGGTTTTGTGAGTACGGGTGCACGCACCACTCCGTGTAGAAAGAAATTGGTGCGATGGTGGCCAGCCAGGACGGAAGAGTGTGTAAAAGGCAAGTCATTTCCTTTTGGGGGTTATTTCACACCCAAAAAAACCAAGAAAAAAAAGGTACGACGTTTAAGACTGCCGACACAAGGCAACATCAACATCTTTAGCTTGTTTAATTTAGCCTAGCACTATTGTAAGCCACCCACACACCCACACGAGTGGTTAAGGGCTAACACAATCACTTAATTGAACAAAAAAATAACATAGCGAGCAAATTCATGCGCTTGCTTCTGTGGCCCACGACGGTCAGACATGACTGTTAGCTAGGTAACAGCTAGCCGCTAACCTGATCCAACAACACCCAACTGACCCCACAAATGGGCAAAAGTAATATCCGTACGTCGCATCCATTTTATCGTTTTGTGTATTGGTGTTATTTTCAAACCAGCAAAATCTACTTTCATCCGATTCCTCACTGGGTAAAAATGAGCCACGATAGCTTTAGCGCCGTGAAAATGCAACTTTTCGTTTTGAAAGAAAACCGTTTCTATCTAAGAAAACCTCCACATTAACTCAGTGCACATGCTAAGCCGACCAATGGCAGGAAGCAAGATTCAGGTAAGAGCACGATTAGCACGACTCAAATGGCGTCTCTGTCCCGGCAATATGTCTGCTTCCCACCAGAGACTAGCTTGACATTTTCAGATTGCACAGAGCTTTCTCATTACTCAGTTATAACATTTTTCAGGAAGGAACCGTGATGAGCTGCAGTTATTTCTGCTGTTGTCTCAAGCAGACACACCTTAAGGCAAACCTCATTAGTGCTGAAGCTAGAGGAGTATACAAAGGCCGGTGCCTTATCTTTTAAATAAACATTGATGCGACCTAGTTTGTCTACTTGGATATATTCTTCGTTTTGTTGTTTTCCAAAGGGAGAAGTCTAGCCAATATTTTTTTTTTCATTAATATATTCTATGCGCCCCTGATGGCATTCTGATCAATATTGTGCTCGTGGGATACAAATGAAGCAGCTAAGCAGCGGGGGCGGCCATTTTGCCATTTACTGTCAACTGAAAAGGACATCATCGTATGGTAAAAGTTGGCCGCAAAAATTGTTTTCACAGCTGTCATTTTGAAAGAATTAAAAGTTAAACATGCGCTGAAGACTCTCATGGACCTCTGCTAACAACCCAGGCAAATCTTGGCCACCACGAGATGTATAGCTACACTTGACGGCCCAATTACTACTTTCCTATCTAGCCAGAACTTTGGCGGCGTCTTGTGGCAACCTTAGGGATCACAGAAAGAGCAGAAAAACTTCGTGCTGTGAGTTAATGAATCGTGAACTGCAACTTGGGGGCTAGGGGGGGTTGTATTCGTTAAAAATAATTGAGCCAAGATAAATAATAAGTTTGTTTTCTTCCTCGGCTGCTGTCTCTTTTGAATGTTATCGCACAGAGCTCCCTTCCTCTCAGCCAAGCTCTCTCCCGTCGGATCGCCTATTGATTTTGCCCTCGACCCTGCCCCCCCCCCCCTCGCCCTCGTGCTGATCCATCTTGGCTTGATGGCTTTATTCCCTCTGTCTGTCACTGTCTCGTGTGTCTCTTGTCTGCTCTCTGCATCCCCGTGATCCCGCTCGTTCGGCCTCTATGGCCTATCTTCCGTGTTTCTGACAAATATGGCGCAGTGTCATGTGATCCTCTCAGGGCTTTTTTAATCTGGCCCTGCCCCTGCTTCTGCTGCTGCAACAAACACGTGCACCGCCCCCGCACTCTGGCGATTTAAATCGCTTCGTCGTCGTAGATCTCGCTCTCACTCGATTCAATCTGATGTCGTTTTAGGAAAGAGCCAAGCTGCAAAAAATAATGCCTTTTTTTCCTCTCATTCGGCGTAAATTGCAGAAAATTGAAATGTGTCACCGATCACTGAGCGTGCGTTGGTCACCTAGGAGGCGCTTGTGCACGTGCGCTTGCTTGAGGATTAATAATTCAGATGGCAATGCAGGAGGGGAGCGTACAGTAGATATTTGGCGCAAATTATTGGCGGCAAAACCACAGAGAAGTGAACATGAACTAAATGTGAGGATGGAATGTATAAATGCCAGATTTTTTTGTGATGTATAAAAAAATGAGACCAGTGTTTTGACTTGATTTGGGGTTCGTCTGACCCCCTTTAAATGTTGGCAGGTGTGTGCTGACTTCCATTTACACGTGCTTGAACGTGACGATTGAATTTCGAGTCTCCCCATTTTGAAGAGAATTTTTAATCTCCTTTCGACAAGATAGTCTGAGAAGCAAGTACGGCACAGGGGAGGTAGGACAGCACTTGCTAAAAGTTAAACCAGCGCGTATTTGACATGCAGGAGTGGCCTGCCATCAGCAAACACGTTGTCTCCGTGCCTGCGAGCCGTGTTCGTTCTTCATATCCAGTAAAGGTAGATGTGCTAAGGGCAGGGCTGCTTTGTATCACATTCGAGCAGCTGACCAGTTATGCCTCTTTTTTTTTTCCCTCCTTCTTTTGCAAAGCCTCGTTCTGTTATGGTGTCGCATCATGTACAAGTGAACATGGAGACGTCACAAAGAAACACACACAGAAATTGTCGTTGTCGCAATTCGCATTTTTCAAAAATGACATCTGGTGTTCATTTGTTAAAAAGATTACTCGAAAAAAATCGTTCTGAATCAATTCTGAATCAATTTTTTTCTGACAGGACATTTAATGAGTCCAAATAGGATTTGATTTTATAGTTTCAGTGTTATCAATTGTCTCTCCCAATAGTAAAAGATCACGAAGTTAACATTCAGGTCTGTGACCTTTTTTTTGCTTCCTTAACTTCCCTTTCGACCATTTGTCGACCTTCTCATTAAAGCACAAGTGAAGAAAAGAAAAGAGCACGTCAATTAGAGATCTCCTCGCATTACTGCCCTGGATTTGCTGTACTGTATTTGAGTACAGCTGCAGTCTTCTGAATGCCCACAAGAGGGCAGCAGAGTTCTCCTATAAACTACCAAGAGCGCCTTTATTGACTTAGAGACAAGCATACATAGCGTGTGTGCGTGTGCGTGTGCGTGTGCGCGTGCGCGCGCGCGCGCGCGTGTGTGTGTGTGTGTGTGTGTGTGTGTGTGTGTGTGTGTTCTTCAGCAGACTAATTTCTATTTAATTTCTATTCCAAGATTCATTTTAATTTGTTTATGTAAAACGGTAACATAATTTCTCGAGATGGTGAATTTGGGGTTTTCATTAAATATAAATGACTGTGTAATCCTTAGAATGATTAAAGGGGAAAAAAATTATATTTCCCTCTGTGTGTAATGAAACTATGTAAAGGATGAGTTTCATTATTTGAATTAAACTACAGAGAAATTATGGAATAGTAAAGTTCAATATGTTTTTTCATGCATTTAATATAACCCTTGGTTGGGAAAAAGAGGTTCCCCGCCCCTTGCTCGAGATGTACGAGTAAGAAACAAGAAGGAACTAAAAAGTGTGTGTGTGCCGGGGGAGTCGGCGGGATCCGTGTCCATTCAAGGTTGCGCAGGTGGAAGTGATTGTTTTTTGAGTGGGAAAAGATAACGGAACACATGCGTGTCAGTGGCTCTTCTGTTGAGCCGTTTACTGTTTGTTTGGAGAAGCCCCCCCCCCCCCCCACTCTCAAAGGGTTACGGCTCATTATCGAGCTAGTGACAACATGCTCTTACGTGACCCAAAGTGTGCATACGCAAGTAGCGTGTGGCCACAAACACACCTACCCTCATTCCCTCCTTTTTTTATTTTTATTTTTTTAAATGATGTCACTAATCCACCACAGATGGCACCTTAATATGTGGCCCACATGTACAGTATGCCAAGTTCACTTACTGCTATTTGCACTTGCCTAATCTTCAACACAACACACACCTGCTCACAATGCTTTGAGCATCTGACGCTTCCTGGCCACGAAGGGCCTTGCCTTGCTGGCGCAACGTCCCTGTTCACCTGACATGGCTCCATGTGATTTTTTTTTTTTCTATTTCCAAAGCTCACCTGGGTCATCGCGGTGACCTGTGTTTAGGACGATGACATCAAGATGACCGCAACATTATCACTGCAGCGGATAAATGGGGACAGAGTACGCTGGGAAAGTGGGTTAGCCTCGAAGGGAATTATTTGGCACGGAGGAGGGAAAAAGAAATGTCAACATATATAATTTGTGACACTGGTTCCCCACAGACCTCGTACAGTAGCCTCCGATGATGAACTGCAAGCGTATCATCGAGTATTTCTGAAACCTACCACGCTAGACCGTACCGCTAAGCGAATAAAAACCGGAAGAGGCTAACACTGCATTCCGATCCAGTGAGCTCACCAAGCACCGCTGGATGTCCCAGCCACCTGCTAGGTACAGATGGCGCATCCCGCCTACACAGACACCTGCCGCAGCACGCGCTAAATGGCAAGAGTGCGGCGGGGGTCGGGCTGGAACAAAGGCAGCGGTGAAAGTGCCGGATTCTCATAGTGTACGCATTAGCTCAGCCACATGGTTGACCCTCTGCAGGGGGAGAAAGTTATACACGTAATCATTCATGTAATGATCCAGATATGTTTACCGGATAATGTCACAATGCCCTAATTGAGGTTACCCTACTTTTTTTTTTTTTTTAATGATTCGCCGTTCTGCTATGCAAAGAATATGATATATTGCCGGCTGACTTTATAGCAGGAACACTTTGATCGCCACCATTAGCTCCGCTTTGAGCTCTATTGTCAACGTAGCCCATTTACTGAGCCAATGAGCCACGTTTTTTTGCTGATTGCTCCTGTCCCCCTGCTGTGCTTCCTCCCCCGGCCACACACACACACACACACACACACACACACACACACACACACACACACACACACACACAGGCACACTTGCATGCATGTATATACTAGGCTGTGGTTGCCCCGGAGACCCGTCCTGTATCGCAGGAATGTGGCTAACTGTCTGGCCTAAAGGGCTGTTAACATCAGTTTTGTATTGTCTCCTGTTTTCCCCACCAGTCAACAAACAAATGAGACGAGACCCACAGGCACACGCCTCGTCTTGTCACTCCGATGAGGTAGATGAATACTAAGGACGTTGTGTCGTCTGATGTAAGGCGCCAAAATAATCTTTAGTATCTTCTTACCGGCAGTCACATTATCTTCAATACATCCGTTTAAAGTCGGGCAAACGCAAAGTCGTTCACTTCGGTATAAAACGAACTTTAAAATGCTGCGGCAGCAAGTGGCGATGAGTCAGAAGAGCTCCCCCCCCTCTAGTTCAGAGGAGAGCGGCAGTATTTTGAATCCACCAGTGACGTTTGAGGGAGGGCCGGCCGATATGCTGTACCTGCATGTAAATAAATCAAATATTTTTCTCTTGTCTTTTAGCGAAACCGCCAATCTATCCAGACCTGGATGAAGAGATCGATTTCATCCACTCGTACATTGAAAAACAGGAAGTGTCTGCCATTGAACCCCCTAAGACGCATTTGAAACCTCCCGGTAAGCACTTTGCTCTCCGACGACCAAGCGGATTGTGTAGCGTTTGTCTTCATTCTTGATCGTTTTATTCCTCCACCACCTCCAGTCTTCTCGGCCAACGGCGGAAGCAAGATAGCCGCCTCTGAAGAGGGCCAGCCGAACAACGGCGGCCCCTCAGCCCAAAACCACAACGGCACCGCTGCCGGCTCCGTCCGAGCAAGTCTGAGCAACGCGTCCACGCCGCAGCCCACCCGAGTGGACGGTCGAGCCGGCCCGCTCATCCAGAACGCTCACAAGGACGACAAGATCATCATCAGTGAGTTTCATGGCATTCGATATCGGCGCAGAAAAAAAAAGTGACGGTATCAAATGCTTGTCCAACTAACCGGCGTTGTCTTCGTAATATATGAGCACTAACAAAAAAAAAAATAACTTTTTCTTTTTTTTTTTTTTTAATTACAGTTGTCATCTCCTTGTTTGTGGTGATCGGCACCGTCGCATTGATCATGGCGACCGTCTGCTACGTCAAGTGAGCCACCACATGAAATCCTCATTGCGCCTTTTTGCAATCGCACCAATTGACGCGGTTAGTAACATCCGGTCGTCCTCCGCAGGTTGCGTAAAGAATCGCGACTGGCTCAGAAGGTGGACTATCCGGCCTTCAGGGGAGCGGGTGTGACCGCCACCGCAGGTGCCGGGAAATCGGTACGTGGCACGCTCACTGAAAGTTTCAATTTCTCACCTCACATCTGAAGAAAAAAAAAAAAAAGATGCCACTCGATCTGAGGCGGCTTCTATTTTGAACGTGTCACATTGACACTTCCTCCTCCTTGTCTGCAGATTGGTGATAAAACGCTGGCGCAAAGTGCTCAAATGTACCACTATCAGCACCAAAAACAGCAGATGCTTTCTATTGGAAAGTATGTTTTTATTTTTTTTTTATTTTTTGCATTATCTTTCCTTTGTTGCATTCAACAACATCCCGTCACTGTTTTTGCTTTTCACAGTCACAAACCAGAACAGAAAGTCATTGACTCCGAGATCACCTCAGACGAAGAAGAGGCGGGAGACTTCACGGTGTACGAATGTCCCGGACTTGCACCGGTGAGCGCGCACGCGCACAGTCAGGATGGCCGAGAGTTAATCGACAACTAATCAATGAGCAAATTAATTGATCATTGTTTTTCTACTCCGATACATCATTTTGAGAACGTAGGATTTCAAGTTATCCAAATCCTCATCATTTCAGCCGCTTCGCCAAAAATAGCTTCCGGTCATCCTCAAAAGCAGACGGCTTGTGTTTTTCAAAATAAGACTTTTTTTTTTCCATACTTCTCCTTTTACGCTGAAAAACAGCTATCAACGTTTTTTATTATCATTTGTGCATGAAAAGGTGTAAACTTTTTTTTTTTTTTTAATCAAAATGTATCTATAGATTGACCAAATAATTGACAGATGAATTGCTTATCTTTGGTTGGAGGCAGACCTAAGTTTACATTCACGATCGCTAGTCCCAACCATTTTTTTCAGGCAGATCTGGGATGAAAAAAAAAAAAAAATCCCTCTTGACTCATGATAATCGGTCAGCATAATCTTTTCGAAACATCCAGCAATTGATCGAGAGAGGGTGGAGAAAAAAAAAAGCTCAAATTGTGTCCGATTGCCGGTAAGCGTGAACCCTGCCAAACCCAGTAAAACTCACTCATGTGTGCTCTCCTCCACAGACTGGCGAGATGGAGGTGAAAAACCCTCTGTTTGACGACTCCTCCATGCAATATCAGGGGAATCAAAAGTGAAATGCTGAACACAACACGTGCAAACACTCACACTGCATGCAGACAAATGGAGGAAACCTGCCAGAAGACAAGACGATTAAAAAGAAAAAAAAATCAAACAAAAAAAAAAAGGTATTGTTTCTCGCTTTTGGCCCTTGACTAATTCTTCCTTGCTTTCTCCATGCCTCCCTCCTCCCGCTTTTTATGACCCCCCCCCCCCGTGTATTGTCGGGTTCTTTGTGGATTTTAAGTCTTTTAACACAAAGGCTCCTCCTTAAGTTGTTGCTGTGAGCATCCTGTCCTCAAATTAAATTTTAAAACTCTTTACGTTGCAATTTCTCTCCCCCCCGTCATTTCTCCGGCTGTTTCCAAAGACGGTGACGCAATAGCAGGAGTGTGTCGGAGCCCCATACACATTCTCACACACACACACACACACACACACACACACACACACACACACACACACACACACACACACACACACACACACACACACACACACACACACACACACACACACAGAGACATGCGCGCGCGCATATGCTGAAAAACAGGTGCCCTTCTTTGTTTTGTCATGCGTAGCTTGAGGCTAAACCACATTCCCCGCAGGAAATATTGAACGCATCCCGTCTCTGAAATTTTAGCCTCACCGTTGCCGATTTGATTTTTGGTCATATAAGCTGCACATAAAAATTTTAAGATGTAGGGGAAAAATTATATATATATATATATATATAATATTTGTGTGTGCATGCACACACGCATGTATATATACATATCATACAAATATGAAGAAGTACTTGATGATGTCTGTTGCATGGTTTGACCGTACCGTGTTTGAATCATGGCAATGCAAATCCGTCTGCCTCCCACTCTGTATGCAGGAAATGGAATTTCCAATCCAAGTGACTGCGAAGCATATGAATGACATTTTTTTGGGGCGGGAGGGGGTGAGTTAGTGGGCGGTGGCCGGACAGATTATATTGATAAATGTGTCGGTGGTCAATTTCACTCTCTTGTGTTGTTCCGCTCTGTCCTCTCGTCGGTCCCAAAGTGAACCTCCTGCTGCAAAAATGTACATAAAAGAGTGAAAGTGTTCACCTTTTATAGATATTTGTACATGCAGAAAAAGGATCGGTAATAAAACTTTTTACCACGCCAATATTACTATTCTCTGTTTGACGCATTCTTAACGTTTTTGTGTTTGTAATGTTTTTTTTTTTTTTTTTTTTTTTTTTTTACTGCAAGTGCCATCTGATTAAATAACCTAACAATATTTCCCTTTAAGCAGCGGATATTTTAGCTGAAATTGTGGTGCAAAACATGCGGATTGATCAAATACAAATACTTCCAGGCTACATATGTGGATAATAAATAAGAAGGAGAATGAAAGTGTTGTGAGAAGGTTTAAGTAAAGTCGAACCGGTAATGCAAAGTGTCAACAGCGATTGTGATCTGCTCGCTTGTTTTGAGTCTCCAAACAAGTAAACAAACCAACGCGTCATTTGAAATGTATCCTCGCAAACAGCCACTTCCTCTTTGTGCCGCCGTCCTCTTGTTTGATGTCTCGTTGGCTCCTGCCTCAGTCTTGGCGAGCCTCTTTGACTTTGCGTCGCGGGACCTTTGTCGATTTGTCGAAAAATTGGTGAGATTTCGAAAAAGAGTGCTTGCTTCAATCCATTTTTTTTTTCAATTCATAATTTGTCCTACGAAAGTCCCCAAGCTTCATGCTAACACAGGCGAAATCACAGTGAGCCCCCCAAAAAAAAAACGCCAGGTGTGTTCACCTCAACTTTGCATTGTCAAATAGAGCAAGCCATTTTCGAGATTTAAGATTGGTCAATAATTTGGAAAAAGTAACACTCACGTGCGGACTGATTTTTTTTGTTTGTTTTTTTTTTTTGACAGAATAAAATTCTGATAACCAATTAATCATCTGATTAATTAAAAAAATATACATTGAATAAAAAAATGTTTTTAATTTTGTACACGTACGACACTAAAAGATATGAAAAACAGTAAAAAAAGCTATTTCCTTGATTTTACAATAGAGAGCAAAATCTGCAAAAATTGGCCAATTTTTATCTCATATTTGTCTGATGTTGTAATGTGTTAACTTGTCGACAATTTTTTTGACAATTTAAAAGGAGTTAATTTTAGTCTCTTAAATCAGTCGCTCAGCCCCCAGTTAGAATCACAACAGAAGGAGCAGCACAATGTCCATTGAATTGAAGCTGTTAAATTGAACGGATTTGTCGTTTTCATTTATTTTCCAGATCCCACTGTATTCCCTCCAGCAATACACATGACGAGTGCATGGCGGTGGTGGTGGAGGTGGGGGGAACGGAGAGGTAGCTCGCGAGGACGGGGGAGAGCGGGGGCGGCGGGGGTGGGGGTGGTTGGTCCAGTCTCCTGTCCCCATTGAGCCGCGTGCCGAGGGCCGTCAAGGCCCCATTGTGCGCGTGGACAGTGGAAGGAAGGCAGCCATTGGTGGCCAGGTGAAAAGCGGGCCTTGGGTGGAGGGCCCGTGAAAGTGGGCGTCAAAGGCTCGGCCGTTAAGGAAGAAAATCAAAAAGCCATCAGACTTGTTTGTTGCCGCTCAACGGGAGGGCCGCCGCTTTACATTTAAGCCTCCCCAGTGGACAAAAGAGTTTTTCTCTCCATTACCAAAGTTTGGAGCGACGCGGCACGCCTGCTCTTTTAGCTGTCGATTTTCACAGTACGTCGTACCTGAAAGCGTTTCATAAGCGGTTGAAAAGTGACTTACAGATTTCAGTCGACGGCGTTAATCGAGCCACCGCATAAACGATGAAGGTGAAATATACGCGTAGCTACTTGCTAAAGCAACATCCCGCCCTCCGTAAAATTGCTTAGAGTATCTTTTCTACGTTTATATGTATTGGAACGTGAACGGTTTGCGTTGAAAGCTGTTGAAACAGCGAGCCAAGTGATATACAGTATATTGGGTCTATCAAACTTAGAGCCTTAACTTTGCTCAAACTTAACTCCAGCGAAGATGGATAAACAAAGATTATAAGCTTTTACTTTCAGTTTTACCCGCTTGACGCTTGTTGGAGGAATCGAAAAAATAATATGCGCACTTTGCAAAGCCGATTGTAAATACCATAGTGTACATCTTTGGTGTATTATCTGTGAGGAAAATACCCTGCGTGTGTCCTCACGGAGCCTTGCAAATCTATGCTGCTGGAGTGTGGTGCTGGTGGGCAGAACCAAACCTGTGCGCGAGAAATTTTGAGAATTGTCAATAAAATATATCGGAAAAATTTAACCAAAAAAAAATTACAAATGCATTCGAGTTAATAATCCCGGTTTGGGGATGAAACCGGTTTGGGGTTTGGAATTCAATTCCACTTGGTCTAACTTGTCTTTTAAGTTGTACTAAGCAGGCATGTTGAAAATGAAAAAGCTGCTTAAAAAAAAAAAGAAAAGATCGGAGACAACCCCTCCCCACACTCACTCACACACACCCCACCCGCCACCTTAGGAGCACCTCGAGAGTGTTGTGTGCTGTCCTGATGAGTGGCCTCACTCTCTTTTTGTCTTTTGCATGACAATCGGTCAGCCAAGTCCATGGACCATCGCAGGACAATGCCGTCGCACTCGGGTTTGATGTCTTCTTAAGCTATTGAGTCAAGTCTCCTGTTGTCTCCCCGTCGCCTTGCCCTGTACTTTGTGTCGCTGTGAATGGTTATACAAAGTGTCATGTAAAGTAAGGGTTTGAGTTATGTGGTCTTGGTGAGATCCGTTTTGGTGTAGAACGTTTTGAAAGTGCTGCTGTTGCACTCTGTTTTTTTTTCCTCAATGCAGTCGTTCACCAAGTCAGATTTTTATTTAGTTTTTAATAACTTCCATCCGGTCATTATCTGATCCGCTATATCCTCATGAGGGTCAGGGTCGTGCTGGAGCCCATCCCAGCTGTCTTCAGACAGGAGGCGGAGGACACCCTGAACTGGTTGCCAGCCGATCGTAGGACACACATGGACGAACAAACATTCACACTCACATTCACACCCGAGGGACAATTTAGAGTGTGCCATCGACTTGCCATGCATGTTTTTGGAATGTGGAAGAAAACCGGAATACCCGGAGAAAACCTACGCATGCATTGGGAAAACATACAAACTCCATTATTTTCTCTCTCTCTAAAACTTGTTTTTTGGTGTTTTTTTTTTGGGGGGGGGGGTCGCCAACCCCAATTTTTCGTGGAAACCACTCAGTAGTTTTATAACCCTCGTGTGTTCCTTTTTTTTTCAATATAGTTGTAACGGCTGCCAGCTATATTTGGAGTTTCATGATTTTTTTCACTAGTTACCCGATCCCTACGGTCCATTGAACACTAAACCTGCACATTTTAAATCGTCTTTTTATTGTGGGCAGCCCCGGCACAACTGTGCAATAACGATGCTGTTCAATCAGGAGGAGGTTGATATCCTGCGCCTGTGAGGGGTTAAATGATCTCGGCAAAGGAGAAGTGCTCATGAACAACATAACAAAACTGATTTGTGGTCAACATTTGAGAGAAATGGGCCTTTTATGTACGTAGAAGAAAAATAGATTTTTTTTTTCCGGATGAATGGATGGACGATAGCTAGCTAGGTGGGTAAGTATATAGCTAGCTAGCTAGCTTGGTAGATCGATAGCGTCGAAGTGCATGCCATGTGGCAGGCAGTGGTTTTGCAACTTTCACCTGGGACACACGAGACTTGCAGGCTGAGCGTCTCATCTCAGACCTGCGGAGTGAAACTGCAGCCTGGTGTTTGTTTCATACGAGTGGGGTGAGTATGTTTGACGCTGGGTGTGGGGCGAAATCAAAGGGCCGAGACGTATTGTTTCAATGTGAAAAGGAGCTAATGGCCGACCATCGCAACTCGGGATCTGCAATCCACAGGGTGCCCCCGGGGCCGGGCTGGTACAATGGCGCCCCCCCGTCCCTGCTCCTTCCCCGCGGCGCGTCTTCCTGCCGCAATCTGCGGCCAACGACGCTGCGCCGGGGGGAGCGCATCTGTGCGAGCAGGGGCCCGGGCCGTGAGGGCCTCGGTGGGGGTAGACCCCCTCCCAACCCGATCAAGAAGAAGAAGTTCACCCGAATGCTCCTGATGCGTTTATGCTACAAGAACATCCTTGAAGTGTGGAAAAGAAACCCACGCAGTGTGTCCGAATTTTTTTTTCACAATTTACGGTGAGGAAATAAATATAGAAAGCCAATATTTTTGGCTTGTTGTGAAAAATTGACAAAACTATTCAGTTTATGATACTTTGACAAACTCCAGAAGCATTCAAGCAATGGAAGAGTCGCTGTGTATGAATACAATTCATATCATAATATGGGTCGCACTAAATTATTGAATCAACTCCATGAAAAATATTGAATTACAGTAATCGGACTAGAAACATTCAACGTACATATGAACCGAAACAATTCTCTATAAATGAAAATGTGCATTAAACACAAATAAACGTGGCAGGCAAGTAAAAATATACAAAATAATTCTACACAACGTGCTTCAAAACTTAATACTTGAACACGTGTATTCAAGTTGAAATGAAGTGGGCAATAAATAAAACCTGACATTCTCCATAAAGTACTTCAACACTTGAAACAAACAACATAAATAACACCGGTCATCAGCACATTTAATCAGACGTGGATTTATGTGTGCCTCAGCGTATTTTTGACGTTGAAGTGTAATATCTGCATTATATACAAATAACATGAAATGAAAAGATGGAATCCTTCACAAAGTCAATATATAAATCGAAGTAAGAAATATCAATGTGAATATATAATTCGTTCACAAATTCTTTAAACCTTTCAGCTCTGTCAATGTTTAAACATAAATATAGAAACACAAATGTGGTATTGTGTATATCAATCTCAAAATGCAACTGAAACTGAACATTTTATGAAAGATAGAAATCTGAAAACGCTTTAGAAGTTCAAACTGATCATCCCGTTTTTAAAATAAAGAAAGTAAACGAGTAAATCCATACAAGTAATTCAAAATGACAATAAAAGCCGTTTATTTTATTAAGCTTGATGAACAAAAGGCCTAATGGCGTGGATTTTAATATCAAAGCCATCTCGCGAAATGCTCATTCGTCGAAGGCTAAGCAATCATTAGAATGCATGTGTGACATATGCTTAGCATTGTAGATGCGTTTTAATTAAGACCAAAAAAAACAAGTTTAGACTTTTTACAGTTGTTGCTTCTTAAATTAGACCACGCCCACGGGTTGGTCGTGGGGGAGGGGGGTGCTACCAAGGTCATTGGCAAATTCACCTTCAGCTGTGCGTAATTGTGCAGCGGCAGCCAATGAGCGACGAGGCCAACGATCTCCACCGCTGGCAAAACGTGTGCAGACCAGCCCCGAGCGCACATTCAATCTCTCAGGCCCAGGCCGGAGCTGGTACGCCTAGAGTCGGCCTTCATGGACTAGTTCGTAGCCTCCTTTCGGCGGTTATGTAGGCCGGGTTGTCCACCAACTCCCATGGACTTTTGCTTTGACTAAGACTTTTTTTTGTGTCCTCCTCATTAAGGTAAGTTTAACTGCCAAGATGTCCGAAAGACCCCACAGCCCAAGCTCGGAGTGTCAAAGCCGCCCGTATGACTTCAGCCGGGCATGCACGCAGATTTTGGGCCAAGAGGGCCTCGGGGGTTCGTCCTTTCACCAGCTCCCCCTGCCAGAAGCGGGTGTGCTGTACAAGCAGGCTCCCTATGGGGGCCTGCCGTCGGCCGCCTCGCAGAGCTTCTTCCCCTTCCCGTCGGTGGCTACCGGCGACTACCGGGCCTCCGAGCTCCAGGTCGGGGATTTCGGCCAGCCCAAGCATTGGTATCCGTTCGCCGCGCCAGAGTACACCGGACAGGTACCCGGTGTAACCGCAGCCACGCAGCCCATCAACTTGAGCCCCCCCATAGCCGAAACCCGGGAGCAAATCAAGCTCTCCGATATCAAGACGGAGAAAGACACCGGGGACGACTACTCGAGCGAGGTGAAGGTCCAGCAGTATCCGCCGGCATCCGCCGCCATGCATCAAGGAGTCCTCTACTCGAGTCCCTGGATCCCGTCCTTCTGGCCCGGTATCAGCCACCTCACGCCGCCCGGCAGCGGAGGAAGCAGCAACCAGAATCCGTCAACGTCTTCTACGTCGTCGCCATCCATGTCCCCGTCGCCACCCAGCAACGGCGTGCCGGCGAACGCCTTCTTCGGCGTCACGCCCGGCCAAGGTGCCCCCGGGCCTCAGGGCCAGAACCCGGCCTCGTCAACGAGGAGCAGCGGCTCGTCCAGCGGCGGTTGTAGTGATTCGGAAGAGGTAAGCATTTCCACTTTGAAAGGATTGAGTCAATAAAATATGTCCAACGCCAGTCCACGAAAACATTAGATTCAACCTCATGCTTTAGGAAAACCTTTCCACTGAAGAATTGGAGCAGTTTGCCAAAGAACTGAAACACAAGCGCATCACTTTGGGTTTCACTCAGGCTGATGTTGGCCTCGCGTTGGGCAACCTGTATGGTAAGTGTCTACGCACTCAACCACTGTAATTGGATATTTTAAATATATTAAAGTTCAGCTTTGTGTTTTAGGTAAGGTTTTTAACATCTTCCCCTCTGATGGCACATCACACACTGTAGTACCAAGACTGACCTAGAAGGGGCAGCATTGTGCCACTGGGCATCCAGGTGGTAGAAGATGATACTGTACTGAAGCTAAGCTAACTCTCAGTTTGTCTGGTAACTATTTGGTTGCGAGCTCTTGTGTTTAGTGGTTGGTTACATGTTATATAAAAGCTCACTATAACCAGTTAGTACTATTTGTGTTTAGAAACGGGATGACTTTCAGGTCATTTGGCTATTGTATAGCTTTCCATCACAATCTCATAACATGGGCTCATTTTAATGTTGGCCACATGCATAAAGGGTGCGTTTTAACGTTTCTAAATTGTTGGGTAGGAATATAACCCACTCTGCACACAGCAGGATAATGGATATTTTCAAGCTCGCCGATAGTCAAGCGAAGGAAAAATGCTCATTCGTCCCAGTTGCTGGTATGCATGTACAGTGCTTAATTATCTTTTTTGTGGGGGCCGGGGGTGGTACATCCCCAGGTAAGATGTTTAGCCAGACAACCATTTGCCGCTTCGAAGCCCTCCAGTTGAGCTTCAAGAACATGTGCAAGCTGAAGCCCCTCCTCCAGAGATGGCTGAACGAGGCCGAAACGTCGGAAAATCCCCAGGATGTAAGTACTCTCTCTCCACATCTGCCGTCTGCTTTGCAAGACAACAGACGAACGCATCTGACGGTGGGGGGTTTTTCACCGTGGGCCCGACGTCCCACTGAGAGCCTCAATGGAAGCCCCCTTGCTGCCTTTGTGACCCCCTGCCGAGTCTTCTGAACCTTGACCTTGTCCAAAGGCCTCTCAGGTACAGCGGGTGACGGAAAGTGTTGATGTGCTCATTCAGATGTACAAGATCGAGCGGGTATTTGTGGACACCCGGAAGAGGAAGAGGAGGACCAGCCTGGAGGGAGCTGTCCGCTCAGCTCTGGAGTCTTACTTTGTCAAGTGTCCCAAACCCAACACTCAAGAGATCACGCACATCTCTGACGATTTGGGCCTGGAGAGAGACGTATGTCCTTTCTTTTTCCTTATAGCCAAATATCACTCTAAAAATGAGTTGGCGAAAAATAACCATGTATGTGACCCCAAAAAAAACGACATGACTGGCATTTTAAGCCAATTTCAACAGAGAAAATTGAATGAGAGAGCATATGAATGTGACTGTTTGGACTGCAAATTTATTGAGACTGAATGGAAAAGACCTCTGGTGGCAAAGTAGTGCACCCACATTTTTTGGGGGGGGGGTCAATTTCTATGAAGCTTGATTGATCAACAACCCCGCCTCCTTTAACAAAAAAAACAGTTGGTGTGTTCATCCACCACTGGCTTCATTTTATCGAGCTCCTTCACAATGTGGATCTGGACAAAAGTAGCTTATTTCAGAATTACTTTTGAATCAAGCTGTAGCCTGCAATCTAAGGAAGGTGACATTTTTCTGTCTAGGTATGTTCATGTTGCGCGAATCGTCTCACTCCATGATGGGTGTGACAATGTGCTATTGTGGTAGCTAGCATTGCACTTCTACTTTGTTACTTTCGCAAACAAACGTTTGGGTAACGTAGCAGTTTTTATTTCCATTTCTAACCCAGTTTGAGTAAAATCAACTAATTTTTGGGGGGATGAGATTTCCCCAGGGCCTAACAGGTGTTTTTTTTTTTTTTTTTTGCAAGGACAATGTGCCTGCACTGATGGGCCGTTCATTTCCCCTCGAGATTAAATTCTCAGCCTTTTGTCTTCAGTGAGGTGAACGAGTCGTCGTTATGCTAAACACTCACTCAGCAGACAACACAAATTGTCTTTTGGGAATTGCATTACAGGGATCAACTTCTCTGTGGCATGATTGATTGTAGGTTCCACCGATGGCACTATAGTGGTGACTTCACAACAGGCATGACACAACTCGACGATGATGTGGCATTCTTTGTAAATGGGCTACACATGGATGCAAGTTCCTTTTTTTTTGGTGGTGTTTACTTCTTGTTCTGTCTTCACATGCAAAAGACAAGTCTGTCGACCAATAACTTGGCAGAGTGTTTTGGTGGATCGAGTCATTCCTTGAAATCAAAGCTGGTTTTATGACTCTCGTGGGAAAAACCTCTGAAAGACTTGACTTGGACTCAATGACTTGACAATTCACTGTGTACCACTTATCTGAATTACTTTGTAAATATTTTTTGCTACACTGAATGAAATCAATTTTTTGCCCTCTCCTACTTCCACTCCCGGTGTGTCATACATTTACTGAAGTGCCAAGGCCGAGTAACAATTTTCTCTGACAAACTCGTTCAAACATATTTGCAGTTCACAAGTCCGGCCCTTTTATGTTATTTATTTTTGCTTTAGCTGTACCCACCTATTTGTTTGTTTGGGCTGGGGCGTTGAATGGGAGCTACACAGATTTTTGATGGGTTTATAGCACCCCCTAGGCTTGGTGTAGCAACATGCGAGCACACGACACATTTCTGTATTAATCACGGTAACAGATGCAAACATTAGTTAAAAAAAAAAAGCTGTGTGTGTGTGTGTGTCACGTGGACAAATAAATGCAAACATGAAAGGGTTTGAAAAGGTCTTTTTACTTTTGAGCACTGTGACACTCGGCACATCATGGACCATTACAGCCAGATATGATGCAACGGGCTGCATGTCGTCTTGACGCTTGCAGGCCATCTTGGTTTACAGAATGCCCATAGTTATGTCAGGTGCCTTAACTGTTATCTAATAAGCAACTGATGATGTCGTGTTTCCCCATATATTCAAAAATTTAACAAAATGACATGTTACATTACAAACTACCATCACATGATCCGTCAAAATATTTTCGCTGCAGTGTTGTGATTGAGTAAGATTGTATTATTTGGGACCTGGTTTGTTCCATTTTCCTTTTGTCTTCCCGACACTACATTGGGTCGTACTTCAGACTTGACTGCGACAGGGATTTCGCTCAAAAAAAAAAACAAAGACAATCACGCTTTCCCGCGCGCAGTGACTAACCGGCCGTTGTCACACGCAGGTGGTCCGAGTGTGGTTCTGTAACCGGAGACAGAAGGGCAAGCGCCTGGCTCTGCCTCTAGACGAAGAAGTCGACGGGCAGTTCTATGAGCCGAGCCCCTCGCCCCTCAACATGGCCACCTCCCCCATCCCCAGCCAAGGCTACCCTCCACCGTCCAGCTACCCGGGAGCCCCGCCGCCTACGCTTTACATGCAGTCGCTTCATCGGCCCGACGTCCTGAAGCAAGCGCTGCACCCTGGACTGCTCGGTCACCTGACTGGATAAAGGCTGCGGCGTCACGGGTGAACCATTCTGTCCAAATCTGATCTACCTCTTGAGGATTGTGAGACAGTTCACGGTTTTCTCCGTCGCTGCAGCTGTGTGTGTATGACTGATCACTCCATGCCAACAACTTGAAGTGTTTTGGGAATGCATGTTAAGTTATTCAGTAGGCCGGATTACCAAAGTGCATTTGACGCAAGGCAGCTTTTAGATTTTTTTTTTGGGGGGGGGGGTATGAATTAAAAAATAATTTTTGAGTTCAAAATTCATTTGACAGTAAATGAGGGGAGCTGTGTTTCAAGTTGTTCTACTCTTTGGATGGTGTTGATGCGAGAAGACGAGTGGGGGGCGTGGTAAGCATATCAGTGCATCGCAAAGAAAGCAATACAGTAATTCTGTCAAGTCCTTTTTCTCACAAAGCTTTTAAAAAAAGATGAATTTGATCCTCTGTAAAAAAAAATTTTTAAAGATTGAATGCAATATTTTGAGGATTTTGATAAAGTGGTGTTTGCTGCTATTTTGCTGCTTTGATTGCACATTTACAACATCTCATCTAGGGTGAAAGTCTGTCCTGTCATTGACTATTTTCTAACAGATGTTGACATGTTCTTCCTATGCTTGTTCCACCGGATGCCTGAAAATTGAATACATGCTTTTCAGAGTAATTTAACTTGTACACCTGATTTTGAGCGTATGCCTTTTTTAAGAGATCAGTCAGTTGACCACTAATTTTAGCCAACCTTCGCTCAGAAGCATCCTATCATGTTAAATGTATTCAAAGTCTGTTTTCTCCCGCCTGTATTTTTGTTTTTAAATTGTTTCACCGCCCTTTGCCTCAGTAAATAATTGTGTGACGTTGGTTCTGTTTGGATCTGCCACCTGTTTATGGGTGTGATTCCACTTTCGATCGCTAGATGGTGGCACATTTGACAAAGTTTGAAGCAAGAATGATAACGAGGTTGTATTTCAGGTCAGCCTAGTTTAAGATTATTTTATGGCGAATCTGCGTCAATCCTGCTTTTTCCGCTTACAAAAAGGCCGTAGGTTCATTTTCAAGCCAAAGCTGGAACGTCGGCCAATGATGACCATGGATTTTTGGAAAAAAATGCTTAGCCTACAGGTGCAGAACACTTTAATGAATTTGCACACATGGTTATGTAGTGTGTTCGGCGGGTTGTGTGTAAACCTCACAGGCAAACGGCGGCTCAGTTTGTGTGAATTCTGCGCGAAAAGAGGCTTACGCCACGCCAGTAGCATGATCCCATGCAGCCAGGTCGTCGTAAACCTTGTTTGGAGGCAAACTGTCGAAGTGGGAGCAGATCTTACACAGTCTCTCGTTCCAGCCACTGTTCAACTTTGTTTTCCCATTCCG